TCCAGCAGAGCTGTTTGGATCTTGCTCATTCTAGCTCTGCTCTCCTCCTCCCCTCCTTTCTGCCCAGGTCTTTGTTGTCCAGGTGGAAGCCCCATCTTCACCCCCCTCCTCACTGGGACCACCATATGCCTGGATCTAGGATCTGTGAGTCCTCCCTGGGGAAGCGATATACATGGGGGAGCTAAACACATTCACCGGCCTTTCCTGGCTCTGCAGTCACTTCCCTTTTCAACTGTTGCAAATATTTCAGAACCCACATATTCCAGTTGGTTGTTAAGCCACACCATTGTTTTGGAGAGAAAGGCTATATTTCCTGGAGACTGTCTTTCTCATCTCCATTTCTTTCCCCACCTCTTTGTACATTCCTTTCTCATTCCAGATAATCTCCCCCAGCCTGTGGGTTTGTTTCCAAAACAATTTGGGTGTTTGGCCTACATATTTTGACCTGCTGCGATTCCAAAATGTTTTGGAGATATCTAGGGAGTAGGCTAGCTTCTTCTTGGCTTGGTTAGGCTGGGTACTTTTGGTATGACAACAAATATATTCTGAATTTTAGTGGGAAAAGGGAGAGAGAACAAAGGAGGGGGAAGAAAACAAGAAAGAAACCAATAACCCAACAACCAAGTTTATAAGTGTGTTACGGTAATAGTTCCGCAAGAACAGCTTGTTCTTGCAGATAACTCTACCTCCAGCCAACCAGGAGCAGGGGCACCAATAAGCACAGCAAGCCATGTACCAACTACACGATTATAGTTATCCAGTTGTGTCTTTTGGTTTTTCATCCTTAGTATTTGAAAACACTTCAATACAGTTACTCTTAATATTTCTTCTTCGTGCCCTAGTCCAGTAGCTCAGTTGGTTAGAGCGTCATCACGATACACCAAGGTTGTGGGTTCTGTCCCTGGTCAGGGCACATATAAGAATCAACCAGTGAATGCATAAATAAGTGGGTCAACAAATTGATGTTTCTCTCCCCCTCCCTCAAATTAAAAAAAATAAATCCTTCTTCCTTCTGAGCATATAGAGCAGCGGTTCTCAACCTGTGGGTCGTGACACCTTTGGCGGTCAAACGACCCTTTCACAGGGGTCGCTTAAGACCATCCTGCATATCAGATATTTACATTACGATTCATAACAGTGGCAACATTACAGTTATGAAGTAGCAACGAAAATAATTTTATGGTTGGGTCACAACATGAGGAACTGTATTTAAAGGGCCGGAAGGTTGAGAACCACTGATATAGAGGAATGGGTCAGTGAAGGAACTTGCTCAGTATTCAGGTGGGAGACAAGAAGATCTTTGAAGCCTGAGCATTGTCCTCCCTGAGGCTTCTCCTCAAGGCTAGGGCCTGGAATTAGAGGGACTGTGCCAACGTGGAGTTAGAGGGAATGTGGAGGCTTAACAGGGGCAGCAGGGTGGAAGAGGGACCTGAAGAAAAGGCCTATGGAGGTGTTCCAGGAGGTCCAGGCGGTAATGGCCCAGAGCCCTCTAGCCCTCTGGTTAAAGAACCATTTAGCCATGAATAATTATCCTGGCTGTTATTTGTGTCTGTAATAACAGCCATAACAATGGATGCTGCAAAGGTCAACCCAGGGGCTGCTGTTGCCTAATGCTTTTAGTAAGGGTTGGAGGCGGAAATGAGTTGATGAAATTTGCTGTTGATCCAAACACGGCTCAGCTGGCCGAGGCGGTGGAGGCCTGCGAGAAACTCCAGATGGACTCCATCTTCTCTGGGTCCCAGGCAAGGCTAGCAGCTAAAATTTAACTTGAACACATTCAAGGCAAGACACTTGGAGTGAAAGCTCATCTCTGCTTCTTCTATGAGGCAGGGCCGGGGTGGAGCCCGAGAGGCTGCGGCAGGGCACAGAGACTGGGCACTCACTCAGCTCAGGGCAGAGGCCCACCTTAGTCCCCAGAGCAAGCAGCACGCCAGTGGAGAGGGGCTCTGGGCTCCGGCCCCCTGAGCAGCTGCTGGACCCCCAGGGGGTCTGGGCTGCCCCTTTCTGTCTGGAGTCGCATCAAATCCCACCTGGCATTCATTGGTGAAATCTCAGTACCTCCACCTCTTCATCCTACATTACAAAAGGAGGCCCTGCCCTGGCTGGGTAGCTCACTTGGTTAGAGTGTTGTCCTGCTATGCCAACATTTTGGGTTTGATCCCTGGTCAGGGCACATACAAGAATCAACCAATGAGTGCATAAATAAGTGCAACAACAAATTGATGTTTCTCTCCCTCCCTCTCTAAATAATAATAATAATAATAATAATAATAATAATAAATCAAAACAACTTAAAAAGAAAAGGAGGCCCTGAGAGGTGGGGAGAACTCACTCCTACAGGCACCCAGTTAGATAGAGGCTGAACCAAGCCCAGAAGCTGGAGCCCTTGGCTTCCAGTCAGAGTATTTCCACTCCATCTTGTCTGCAGGCCCCACCCAGCCAGTGGCAGGTAAACACCAGCTGGAGCTGGTGGGGGATGGAGAGCCTGTGGGCCCACCCCGTTCACATTTACGTCAGTCATACCTTCCAACAAATGCATATCGAGCACTTATCATATCTCATGCACAGTTATGTGGGAGGGATAAGGGCATGGAGTTTGGAGTCACGCCTCAGTCATTCAGTCCCTCTGAGCCTTGATTTCATGAAAATGAGCAACATTAATCCCGGTGCCTACCATATATAGTGAGGACTCCATGAAAGGTGGCTATACAAGATGGGGCTGGGACCCCAAGAAGTCCTTGGTCTCTCAGGGGAGCCAGATTCATCAATAAGCGTATCTAGTGTGTATAGATGGGGTGGTTTAGGAGGACAGGGGTGAATAAAGAGGGTGCTCTCTGCTTACCAGCCTCTCAGAGGAGCCTGAATCTTCCTATTGTAAAATGCGATACTATAATGAGCTCATGCATTCAGGGTTATGGATTTATGGATTGGACAAAATAAATATGAACTGCCTCATGCTCAGGGGGCATCAACAAAGTGGTATCATTTTGAGGGGGGTGAAGTCAGAGAAATCTTCACAGAAGAGATGACATTTGAATTGAGTTTTGAGCGATGAACAGAACTTTACGGGAGAACAGCATGGACAAAGGCGTGCAGGAGGCAGCCGATCAATGACTCTCTCTCATCATTGATGTTTCTATCGCTCTCCCGGTCTCCTTTCCTCTCTGAAATCAATAAAAAAAATTTTTTTTTAAAAAAAAAAGAATGTTACCAAAACTCAGATCCTCGTTACCTCTTAAATCTGTGTTCCTCTGCATGGCTTTTTGGGCAGATTCCATGTGGTAGCTCCTGAAAGCCACAGGCTCATATCAAAGCATCCTTACTGCTGGGATCTCCAGGGGAAAGGACTGTGAGCCTCTCTCCCAGGAGTGCCTGCAAGAGTCTCATTGTGTGGCATTCATTCTGATTGGGTCCCATGCCTATTCCTAAACCAATTGTTGTGCTCTAATTGGCCAGGCCCATCATTAGCCCAGCCCTGGTGGTTAGGGGTGGAGTCAACTCTACCTGTGCTACAGATTGGCTGAGGCAGGGGAGGTACCCGCCTTGAGGAAAATCCTAGAGGTACTGTTGCCAGGAGGGAAAGAGTTGCTGGGCAGTGAAACAGCAGATACCTATTAAACCCACGTCAGTATTGTATTGTTCTGTGTGTGTCTCATGTGCACTATTCCACACTAGCCACCTGACCTCCTGGCTGTTCCTTTAATACTTTTGCTTCTTCATCTATTTAGGTCTTAAATGTTATCTTTTCAAGGAAGACTACCCTGAACACCTCATTTACAAAAAAAAAAAAAAAAAAAAGGAACTGTCCTCCACTTCTATTATCCTATATAATAAAAGCATGGTATGCAAATTGTCCCCTCAACTGGGAGTTCTTCCGGGAGTTTGACCAGGAGGCTGGGCCAGCTGGGGAAAGGGAAGGAGTACCCAGCCAGCAGCCGCAGCTGCTAGGGACCCTACCAGTGCGCGAATTTTGTTCACTGGGCCTCTAGTGATTTATAATAAGAAATATGTTTGGTCTCCATTTCTGGCTTGGAGCTCCTAAAACCCTTGAAATGTCCTAAATGATAAGAGCAATAAAGGTGCCTTGATAGTCATAACAAAAGCATTCAGTCACACCTGAGTTTATGTTAATAAGGTGACTTGGAAATGAGGTGACCTAAGGATGGGGGCAGGGGAGCCAACCCTGTGTTGCAAGGTCAGGACTTTCAACCCCACCCCCCTGACCTCCAGAGAAGGAAGAGGGGTTGGAGGTTGGATCAATGGCCAATGGCCAATGACTTAGTCATTTCTATGTAATGAAACCTGAGTAAAAACCTAAAAGGACAAGGTTCGGAGAGCCTCCAGGTTGGTGAGCAGGTGGCGGTTCCAGGACAGTGGTGCCTTTCCACCTTGCCACATGCATTTCTTCCATCTGTTCCTGAATGACATCCTTTTATAACAAACCCATAATCTAGTAAGTTAAATGGTTCTCTGGGTGTTGTGAGCTGCTCTAGCAAATTAATCAAACCCAGGGAAGGTGTGATGGGAACCTCCTATCTATAGGGGGTCAGTCAAGCACAGGTGACAACCTAGACTTGCATTGCAGCTGGCATCTGACGTCTTAGACTGAGTCCTTCACCTGTGGAATCTGATGCTATTTCCAGGTAGATAGTGTCAGAAATGAATTGAATTGTTGAACACCCAGCTGGTAGTCAGAGAATTGCATGATAGTGCTGGAAAACCCATATATTGGGTCCCCATATTCTCTATTCCCTTTTCCTGTTTTATTTTTTTCCTAAAGAGAGGCATATTGTTTTCATCACTTATTTATTATGTCTCTCCCATTGGAATGTAAGCTCCACAGGACAAGGATTTTGGTCCATTCTGTTTACTGCTACACCCTCGATGCCCAGACAGTGTCTGACACGTAGTAGGCACTCAGTCAATAATGATTGGATGAATGAATGTTCACAGCCACTCTGTGGAGTAGGTGGATGAAGGTGATTCTCTTTCTGTTATAGATGAAGACATGGCAACTCGAGAGAAGGATCCTGTTGGCAAAATGATTAAAAAAGAGCTGTGGGCCCTAGCTGGTTTGGCTCAGTGGATAGAGCATTGGCTTGTGGACTGAAGGGTCCCAGGCTTGATTCCGGTCAAAAGCACATGCCTGGGTTGCGGGCTCGGTTCAACATGCAGGAGGCAGCCAATCAATGATTCCCTTTCATCATTGATGTTTCTATCTCTCTCTTCCTCTCCCTTCCTCTCTGAAATAAATAAAAATATATTTAAAAATAAAAAGAGCTGTGGCCAGTGGGGTTCAGTTGGTTGAGCATCGTCCCATGCACCAAAAGTCCCTGGTTTGATTCCTGGTTAGCAGGGCACATGCTCGGTTTTCGGGCTCAATCCCCAGTAGGGGCCATGAGGGAGGTAGCTGCTCGATGTTTCTCTCTCACATCATTGTTTCTCTCTATCCTTTCCTCTCTCTCTAAAATCAATAAAAATAGATATATATTTAAAAATAAAATGATTAAAAAGAAAAAAAAAACTTTTTAGCCCTGGCCAGTGTGGCTCAGTTGGTTGGGCATCTTCCTGTGTACCAGGAGGTTGCTGGTTCAATTCCTGGTCAGGGCACAGGCCCGGTTTTGAGTTTGATCCCCTGTGGAAGTATACAGGAATCAGTCCATCGATGTTCTCTTACCTCAATGTTTCTCTTTCTCCCTCTCCCTTATTCTCTCTCTGAAAAAAAAAAATCAATAAACTACTTAAAATTTTTTTTATTTTACATTTTAATTATTGAGTACTAATGAGAAAACATCAGAGGGGACTTAATGCATTACAGTGTGTTCCCACCAAGTGAGGTTAAATGGTGCCCTGATGAAGTGGTTCAAATAGAGAATGTGGTAGGAGAATTGAGTCATCCTCTGGCACTTGGTAATATGGGCATCCTAAGAGCAAAAGAACCACCTGCTCTGGTCAGAACTTCAGTCTTGCTGGGAGTAGCAGTTTAGTTTCAGCAAAAACAAAACAAAAAAAACCCAACAGTTACATTTAAATTAATATGACTAATTTGAATCTTACTGATTTTATAGTTTCTTTTAGACAGAATTTGTAAGCTTGTTTGGATTGTAAGCCTAAAACCCTAAGAAGTGTGTACCTAGTTTTTTATGTCTTTGCACATGTAAGGAACATTGAAACAAAAATTAGGTAACTTTGTGAGAATTTGTGTCCTTTCTAAAGGAACCTGCTTAGCATTCAAGATTGAGAAGATTGTTTCAGAAGACTCAGACCCTCTTGTCAAGGAGGTGCCTGAGAAAGATGTGAGAACAGGGTCAGAGTTTGAAGATCATCTGGTGAACCCAGCCTCGTGGCCCAGTGGTTGAGTGTTGACCTATGAACCAGGAGGTCACCATTTGATTCCTGGTCAAGGTCGATTCCCAGTCAAGGCACATGCCTGGGTTGCCAGCTTGGTCCACAGCAGGGGGCGTGCAGGAGGCAGCAGATCAATGATTCTCTATCATCATTGATGTTTCTATCCCTCTCTCTCCCTCTCCCTTCTTCTCTGAAATCAATAAAAAGATATTTTTTAAAGATAGTCTGGTGAGTCCAGCCCTCTCATTTTGCAGATGAAGAAACTGAACCCCAGTGAGCTCAGGTCTCACTCAGGGCTTTTTCTCTGCCACCCAGATGGGATACCTGCTCCCAAAAGCTACCTCATTATATCCATGGAAGTGACCTGGGCAGGCCTCTAGGATTGAGCTTCTGTGAAAAGCCAGTGGGACCCAGTTGCTATTGGGAGGGGTGGGTGATGGGTGGAGCTGGAATTAATCAGACTCCCCTGCAGTTTACTCCCCCAGCCTGGAATCTGCCTGCCAAGTCCCGAAGGGGGGGTGGGGGGTGGGGGAGGGGAGTGTCCTACTCTACAGGAAATTCCCAGCTGTGATTTGGGTGTTTTTGCTCTGGTGTTTGCTGGGAAGTACAGTTAAGTGGGGGAGAGGTCTCCGCCCTCCTGGAGGGCTTAGGTTCGGCAGCTATCAGGTATGATGATCTCTTGCTCACAGAGCTGACCTCCGGGTACTATCCTGAGGTGGAGAGTTCTAAGGCCCCTGCCCTAAAATTTGGGGCAGAGATTTATGCAAAAAGATGCAAAAGAAGGCACCAGACAGGCCCTGATGTTCCATCACCTGAGACCTAAGACCTTAGCTTTAGGCAGAACATGGGAACCAAAGAGACTTTTCTGCCTCCTTCAGGTCGGTCTTTTTTCCTAGAGATCCTGCACGAGGGAAACTGCCCGCTTCTTTCCTCCCCTGACGGGACTGTAGTTGGAGAGGCAGGAACTGGCCCAGACGCAAACAGCCTTTTGCTGGTGGAGGACTTAGGCCTGGTGAGGGCTGAGAGCTGCTGGCTGGACATAGGATTAGCGGGATGGCCAAGCTGATTTCTCCAGCACTGGCTTTTTGGGAAGTCAGAGGACTTAGGGAGTGCTTAAGTGTACTATGGTAAAGAACCAGCCTCCCAGGGACCCCCATGAGTTGATGGGGGAAACTGAGGCATGGAGATGAAATTTGATCAATGCCATTTTTTATTCAGCAAAGATCCAACTAAAACACCTATTATATTCTAGGCTCTGTGGGGGAGGCAGGAGGTGAGACCACATAGGGACAATAGGAGATAAAATGTGGACAAAGGACTACAATAAGACAGTGTCCTTATAAATGGTGTTCTATAGATGTGTGGGGGAAATCAAGTTCATGAATTAGATTGCTATTGGGACTGAAAACAAAACTGAGGTCTCTGGCCTTCTGAGCTAGAAACCCCCTAAACCAGTGATGGCGAACCTTTTGAGCTCGGCGTGTCAGCATTTTGAAAAACCCTAACTTAACTCTGGTGCCGTGTCACATATAGAAATTTTTTGATATTTGCAACCATAGTAAAACAAAGATTTATATTTTTGATATTTATTTTATATATTTAAATGCCATTTAACAGAAAAATCAACCAAAAAAATGAGTTTGCGTGTCACCTCTGACACGCGTGTCATAGGTTCGCCATCACTGCCCTAAACCATAGTGATTTTCCCTCCCTCCTGGCCTTGTACATGCTTTTAGCTCTTAGGAAGAGCCCATAGGGAGTTTAGTACCATTAGGCTGTAAGGTTAGAGGTTCAGGACTCAAAGAAGGAAATCCCCAGATCTCCAGGCTGGGAGGTCCATGTGCTTTTAGTTTCTAGAATCTAGATCAGGGGTGGGCAAACTTTTTGACTCGAGGGCCACAATGGGTTCTTAAACTGGACCGGAGGGCCGGAACAAAAGCATGGATGGAGTGTTTGTGTGAACTAATATAAATTCAAAGTAAACATCATTACATAAAAGGGTACGGTCTTTTTTTTTTATAGTTTTATTCATTTCAAACGGGCGGATCCGGCCTGCGGGCCGTAGTTTGCCCACGGCTGATCTAGATCCTACTTGTTTGTGTTTCCCACAGGGCCTTGCATGATCAGTTATACACAATAGGGTAAGAAAAAGGAATTTATTAGCATTAAAATGGCCTGCTACCTGCCAGGTGCTGGCCTGGCACTCTACTTTTTTTTTTTTAATTTGACTTTTAGAGATAGGAAGAGAGAGAGAGAGAGAGAGAGAGAGAGAGAGAGAGAGATTGATCAGCTGCCTCCCACATGCACCCTGACCAGGGATCAAACCCACAACCTGGGTATGTATGTGCCCTTTGGTGTATGGGATGACACTCCAAACAACTGAGCCACAGGGCACTCAGGCCAGGGCACACTCTACTTTTTATTTTATTTTATTTTATTTTATTTTATTTTATTTTATTTTATTTTATTTTAATTGGTCTCAGAGAGGAAGGAAGAAGGAGCAAGAGATAGAAACATCAATGATGAGAGAGACTCATTGATCCGCTGCCTCCTGCACGCCCCCCACTGGGGATTGAGCCCGCAACCCGGGCATGTGCCCTTGACCAGAATCGAACCCGCATGCTTACACTCTATCCACTGAGCCAAACCAGCTGGGGCAGGCTCTACATTCTTTATGTCATTTCACATGTCAGTCCAATTCATTTTTATCACTCAGACTGCGCCTGTTGGTAACTATCTGTGGGATGAATGAATTCCAGGGGAAGAAGCCAACGGCTGGTCCGGCTAGACCAGGAGGTTTGGGAGGACCAGTCCTTCTTTGGGTCTACCTGCATTCTGCTTGGCACAGCGTGGGTGGTGGATAAATACTCCCAGAATTCATAGATATAATGATCCCTCCTTCTTCCCAGGGAAGTTAGCCCACCTACCCCAGAGCTAGGTTCTTTCAACAGCAAAGCACCTGTGGGTTTCTGGGTGACTCATTTCCGGCTGGACTGGGGCAAAAGCAGCTGCCCTTTTGAGTGCTGGTAACTGATTGGGCTAGACTCAGAGCTGCTGCTGATGAGTCAGGAATTTCTGTGTGTGTTTTTTGAAAAGCTTCAGAGGAAAGCCTGGCTGGTAGGGGAGAGTTGAGCAAACTGCTTGAGTCTCACACACCCACTGGCCAGTAGAATTGCAAGAAATCTACGCGAAATCTCGGTTCCTTTGTCATTACACCCAGAGAAAGCCAAAGGATGGAAAAAGGCAACAAAAACCGAGCCTCTGGGAAGAAAGGAGTCAGGATTGTTTCCAGAGAAGTCCTCTCATTTTCCTTCATGATCTTACCTCATTCCACTTTGGTTGCCCTGTGACCCCAGGGTTTTTCCAAAGAGCTGTTTTTTAAGCTTTTTATTGAAAATTCATATGAAATAGACCTGTTTCAGCCTCCCACCAAAGCAAACAGTCTCCCCAAACAATCATATGGAACATCTATCAAGCATCTGCCATCTATTCTAAGAGGGACAGGACCACACCTGTCTAGTTTGCTTTTACAGCATGGTGGTAGGCATTGGGCAGTTGCTTGATAAATATTTGTTGAGTGAATTAAATTTGGAGACCAGGAATTACACCGTGACATCCTGGTTCATAGATGGACGCTCAAACACTGAGCCACACCAGCAGGGCTACTCACCTATCTTAATGGCTATTTTTTTTTATTTTAATTGACAATATGAGGTGGTGGGAGGATGTAGAGCAACTGAAATTCTTATACCCAGCTGCTTGGAGAGTAAATTGTTAC